CGTCATCCTTAACAGAAGGGGTGATTTGCGGATTTCATGTAGTAGAAGGGCTGATTTGCCAGTGTTTCTTGTACAGGGGCTGAATTGCCACAACATTGCAGGTACAGGGGCTGAATTGCACCTTCTGCCTTTTTTTTTCTAGAAATAACTTTCTTTTACCATTTATTATATCTCATCCTCTGTCGTACGATTTCAACCTTTTCTTTTTATCTCTAATACCATTTAATTATTTAGTTTGATCACTAATTCACTCGTAATTTTCTTTTTAAAGGTGGAATTAGGACAACTGCCGACGTAGATTTACAATCATCTCCACAGAATGTTATAGTTATTACAATCATGCCTGTAACGGCTACTTGCAGAACACCCCAAATTTAAAACAATCTCCTCGGTCTTCCCAAAAACCTAACCAAGTGTCACTGCTCTCTTCACCACTCCCACGCTCCCTCTCTTTCTCTCTCTCAGCATCTAGAATAACAATGGAGGAACCAAGGATTGACGCCGGAGAAGCAATAGGCGACGATTTCTACGAGAAGATCGAGGCTCCAAAGTTCGTTGACCTCACCGCACCGGATCGCTACCGCACCGAAGACGATGACCGATTCTGGTTCTGCCTCCGCGTTGGTGCGTTTCCTCATACTTGTAATTGAATTTTTTTTTTCTATGGCATTCGTTTAGGGTTCACTACTTTAGCTTCTATCCGATCTCTTCTCTTCTATATATCGTTCAAATTCGCTTCCCCCTTGTACTTTTGTTGCTTAAATTGCTTGATTCAGATGCCTTATTTCTTTATATGCTTTGTTTGCCTTTGGAAAAGTGTTAGGGAAAGCGAAAGAAAAATGGGTTAAATTGGGTTTTGCTTTAATTGTAGTGAAATTTCTGAACTTGGGTTGAGTAATTTAGTTCAAATAGCTAAAAGGAGATGAAAAAAATTGGTTGGAGACATGATTTTTCTATGATGGGTTGTTTCAACCAGGATATAGATTGCTCCGAGTGTAAGATCTACTTTTATAGGCTGAGATTCTTTAGAAATAGAACAAATAATCAAAATTATAGGCATAATTATTTCTGAACAAATAACATAAATTTACATTTTGATTCTTAAATTTTGTAAAAGAAATGAACTTTATTTTCAGCAGCCACTTTAGATGTCTTTGGTTCAGTTTTCTAAGAATAGGAACTTAGATTATCTTTAGCACTGTTGGATAATATTTGTCAGCTCAATATGTTACCATGGACTGATGCTTCTTGCTTGATTTGGTAACTAGTTTTCCGAATATATGATTCTTCAATTCAGTCATGTGTCTGTTTTTTATTTTTTATTTTATTTTATTTTATTTTATTTTAATTTTTAGGATGCGATCAGAAGCATGAGGAAGAAATGGACTCGGAAGCTATATACAAAAACTTTGTTCTTCGGGTTAGTAACAAGTTCTGTTTTCTCTATCTGATGAGTTCCTGTAATTGATGATTGTTTAGATATGACAATGACATTAGTGAATTCCACAGGTCATGGCAGCAAGGAGTCCCAATGTGCGTTTTCAGAAAGTATTGTGCAGAAGGGAGGCAAGGTATATATGTAAAGCTTGTCTAAATAAATTTCAGTTATTATTTTTATTCCTTTTCTTCATTTTGCGATTTGGCTTAAAATGACATATTTTGTTTATGTTTTATGTTAGCACAAAAATGAAATGCCCACAGACAGTTCCAGCAAAACCTTCAAAGTCCAGACTTTCAAGATTGGCCATGATATCATCTATTTCGAGGACAGTGGCTGATGCAAAAACAAAAGATAGACCTCTTCCGAAGCAGGGTTCAACCCCAAACGTGAAGGCAAAACAACCATCTGTTCTGGCTAAGGCTCTGACCACTCCTAGGAACAAGAAACGCCTTTCAAATCCGGGTACCTTTCGTAGTGTTCGGAACACAAAAGCAACCACAATTGAAGTGCCAAAGAATAGAGTGGTAGCCAAAGCTCTGGTCTTTCACTCACCTAAGAAGATAGTGAAGTTGAAGAAGTCAGTAGAATTGGGTACTTCTCTTAGAAAGCTTTGCACAGGAATGAAAAAGCTTGAGATCACCAATGGAAAGAAAGATACTTTGAATTGTAACAAAACATTACCTTTAGATGCTTCAAAAAGAAAAATAAGAGGAAGAGAGGTTAAAAGCCGGGTCTATGATTCACTGCATTCTCAGAGTCACAAGTGCCAGGAAGCCAAGCATTATAAACATTTGAAGATGAGGAACAAGGAAAAGGACTCACAGTTCCCCAAGGATCCTGCATCTAATCAAGAGCCAGAAAGTAACTCCGATCAGTTGGAGATAAAGGAGAAGTCAAGAGATGGGTCAGCTGATGTTTGCTCTACATCTGGGGCTTCAAAATTTTGTGAAGGAAATAAAAATGAAGAGCAAATGAGTACTAGAGAGACAGTGGAACCACAAATGAATGAGAATGAAGTCAAACTGTTATCTGATACCTTGAGAGGTGACATGACCTCACTCTCAAACTCTGAAGAGAGAAACACTTGCCAGGGTGATGTTGCCAAATTCCAATCTCTAAATGGAGAGGACAATGACAATGAGATAATTGAAGGGAGCAGTCGTGAAGACAAAACCAAGACAATTTCAAAGGATAAAGAAATTCCTGAAGCCATGAAGAGTGATCATAAAGAAAATGAAAATGATTTAGCCTCTCATATTATCAACAGCAAAGCCATGGACATTGATGATAAGGAAAATGCTTCAGCCTTTGAGGAAAACAGGTTCATTTCATCGCATTTCTTAATTTTCTTTTCATACATTCCATTATTTAGCAATGGTAATATATTGTGTACCAAATAATTGCAGAAAGTCAAATCTGACTTCAAGCACTTCCATTAAAAGGAATGTTGTTGGCAAGAATGAGACTTCTAGATGCACTCCAAAGGTAGCTTCTTTGCCAGAAAAGCACGTTTAATGTTTCATTTCTGTTTGGTGGACATTTCATCTTCATTTTATATTATCCTTTCATTTAACCATGTATTTGCAAATGATGCAGGTATCAAAGGAAATGAGTAAGGCATCAAAAGAGAGTTCCATATGTTTTGTCAAAAATACTCAGGGGATGAAATACAGAAAACCTAAGCCCACAAATCCCAAGCCTTTTCGGCTAAGAACTGATGTATGCCAAAAATTGTTTTAGTCTTTGTGACACCGAAAAGAAAAGTAGAAATGTACTAGTATTAACTGATTATTTGGTTGTTGTTCTAGGAAAGAGGAACTCTAAAAGAAGCAAACTTGGAGAAGAAACATGTCCTTGCACCTCTGAGAGAAATTACTACCTTTACAGGATCCAGTGGAGGAAACTCACAGAAAAAACATCAGAATGCTGTCCAAGTGAGTATATAAAGTGAGATCTAATATTTTTAAATTATGGACTGGACTAATATTTTTGTTTCTGATTACAGATAAATGAAATTGAGAATGCTAATTGTGCATATGAAAGCACTAATGATGAACCAAGCATAATAACACCGAAGAACCCACCTGTAAGTCAATTTTCTATGCAGTAAAAACAAAAGAGTAGAGTCCCGTTTGCTGTTTCCAATGATTCTTAGTTAGAGGGTTGGCTGAAATTCTAATGTGGTAGCAGCAAATCTCTTGCCCGAGGTCATCCAAAGGAACACTGGGAAGAAAGTTTTCTTCAAATTTATTGAGAGGTACTATTTCTACACAGCAGAAAACCAAGCTTGTTTCTTCACAATTGGAGAATGGCCAGAATAAGACAGCTCAAAACTCTGATGCTAATTCAAAAAGGAATAAATCCCAAGGGTAAGTTATACACATCTTCTTGCTAAGAATGCCCCATGGTTACAGTGAAGAATATATTCTAGTGGACTAAATTAGCTTGTTTCCTTGTAGGATTGCATCAAGTAGGAGGAAAATGGTTTCTCTCATGAAACCTGGTCAACTTGGTACAATAAAGGAAACATCACCTACAATTTTAAGACCCAAGGAAGCATCAACACTGGTTGAGGATGGTTCTTTTCTAATGACAAAAGCTCCTGCTTCTAATGCTTCAGGGCAGTCACCACAGGGAAGAAGGCGTGCAACCATTCCAAAGGATCCAAACTTTCATAGCATCCATTTTCCCAAGAGCTGCAGGAGAAGAGTTACATAGATCCATCTCTATCATAATCACCTAACTCCTTCACGTTTGATATTCTTAAAAGGAAATCCATCCTTTAATCATTTGTTTGTATGTTTGTTGTTGTAACCCATTTGTGCCCTATTGAGAAAAACAAAACATGGTTGTATCAGTCGTGATACAAGAATGGCTTGTATTTCAATATTCCAAAAACCAAAAAAGAAAAAGAAAAAGAAAAAAGAATGCGTTGTATTTGAAAGAGAATCAATAAATGTTGTGGTTCTGTTCCTTCTTCATTTCAGAGTAGAACAATATTTTAAATTCTTCCCCCCTTCTCTAATTCTTAACAATATTTTCCTTTCTGGTATTTTCCATCTGAAAAGAAAAAATATTACATTTTAAAACTAAATAGTTGGAGATACACCTTTATTACATTTTTTTTTTCTTTTTTAGTCTTTGGGTTGCATAATGGAAGGCAATACTTTTTTCATCCCTTAATTTCATCCTACTTGCATATTATACAACTAAAATTGAAAACCTCTTATTTCTACAAAAAGTATATTACCATTGAATTACATATGTCATTGACATTACATTATTATTTATTAATAGGGAGAAATTTGTTGCTTATTTGATATAAAAGGATGACGCTGTTTGATACTGCTAGAAAATCCTGCTGTAATTGCAGAAGAAAATGACCCTGCTTCATTTTATGAGCAGAGCCTACTCTGCATCTTGGGATTGCTTCTTCCCTTCAGCAACATGGAAAACCAGTTTGCAGATCCTACCTTGAAATTGAAACTGAAAGGCTCATATCAAATTTCTGCTGTTCTTCAATTTCCCACTTGGACTAATTTCGCAGTCTTTCTGAACAGTGACACCTGTGAATGTGCAAGGTTCAGCCTCCTCTAGCTTCTGTACAACCATTCTCATTGTAGGCCTGAGCCTAGGAATTTTTGCTGTGCAACAAATTGCAATTCTCAGCACCTTGATGGCTTCTTCCTTTAAAGCCTCCGAGATTCTTGAGTCCACAACATCAAGCAAACTCTCGTTGCTCTTCATTTGGCTTTGTATCCATTGTACTATGTCCTTGTTCTCCCCATATTCGGCATCTACCGGCCTTTTACCGGTCACCAATTCCATAAGAACAACTCCAAAGCTATAAACATCACTTTTCTCATTCACCTTGCATGTGTATGCATACTCTGCAATCACATTCAAGATGAAATTCATCAACACAATGTTTGAATATTGGGCTTAAAAATATAGACGACATTGAGTCCTGGGTTTCCACCAAGACTAAGAAAAATATTATGCCTGAGATTTAAGTTAATTTGTCAAAGACAGAGGGAAATTAGTGATTAGATATTGTAGATGTTTCCTCCAACCCAATACCAAGTAGAAAAACAAAAGAGGAACTTACCAGGAGCTATGTACCCATGAGTTCCAGCAAGGACATGAGTCCATTCCCCTCCCCCACCAACATTATGCACAATTTTTGCTAGGCCAAAATCTGCAATTCTCGGCTTCCATTCTTCATCAAGCAGAATATTGCTTGACTTCACATCACGGTGTATGACAGGTCTATCACAACCATGGTGCAGATACTCGAGTCCTCTTGCAGCTCCCAGTGCAATGACATACCTCACCTCCCAATCCATCTCAATCTTGTTACATGTGTGCAGTCGATCCCACAAGCTTCCATTAGGCAAGTACTCATAAACAAGCAGATTGCTATCCTCACTTGTGATGCTACAATACAGTTTCACCACATTGACATGCCTAATTGCACTCAAAGTTGCTACCTCTGCATCATATTCCAGTGACTTAAAGCTCTTTTTGGTCAGCATAGCCGCACTGCTGCTGATGTTTTTCCGATTACCAGAATCTGCAGTCCATATATGCTTGACAGCCAGTTCTTTCCCATCATGCAGTACAACTTTGTACACATCGCCTGATCCTCCTTTACCTATCAAATTCTTGACCTTAATGCCATCAATTATGTCCTTCTCGGTGAAGCTTAGTATCCTATATGATTTCATATTCCAGGAGCCTTGTTTCATTGAATGGTCTAGATTATTCTGCCTTAATTTCACAAAAATGTAACAGGCTAGTGAAATGACAAGGACCATAATACCGGCTATGAAACATGACAGAATTACTCCAAGATGACTGGACTTGCGAGGATCCGATGAACATGACTGGAAACCTTCCAGCTTTGAACTGCATAACCCTGGATTCCCCTGAAAACTATCTCTAAAGGCCTGAATGGATAAGGACTCCGGTATTGGACCTACTAATTGGTTATTTGACAAGTCAAGAAGGTTTAATGTTAATGATGAAAAACTGGCGGGGATGTCACCGGAGAGTTTGTTCCCGGATAAATTCAAGAAGTTTAGAGTACGTAAAGATCCTAAACTATCAGGAATTTCACCGGTGAGCATGTTACCGGCGAGGTTTATATCATTCAAGGAGACACAAGAACCTAAAGAGTTAGGAATTGCACCGGATAAGAAGTTGTGATCAGTGTAAAGCCTACTCAGCTTCTTCAGTTCCCCAATTGTCGCCGGGATTTGGCCGGAAAAACTGTTTGAAGTAAGCTGGATGGAGACTAAAGATGAAGCCTGAGACAGTGAAGCAGGTAATTCACCGGAAAATCGGTTGTTAGCTAATAGTAATTGTCCCAGAGACTTAGCATTCGCTATATCTTCCGTCACCGGACCTTCAAACTGATTCATGGTAAGATCAATAAGAGAGAGATTCGACAAGCCCCAAATTCCAGCCGGGACAGCACCGGAAAGAGAGTTGTTGTTAATTCGAAGGCGAGACAAGGACTTACAGCTTGCGTAGCTTTCCGGGATGGTTCCAGTCAACCTGTTCTGTAGGAGAAGAAGATCGGTCATTTTGCCGTTCTTGCACATGTCTGGAGGAATAGGCCCCGTCAGGAAATTCTCCGAAGCATCTATGTAAATAAAATCAGCCCAGGAACCGATCGCTGGAGGGAGCTGACCGGTAAGCTTGTTCCTGTAAAGGGACAATTCTAGCAGATTCTTGAATTCACCGAACTCCGGAGGAATCTCGCCGGATAACTGGTTTTCGAAGAGCTGCAGAGAAGCTATCTGTTTCAAGAATCTCAACTCAGAGAGGTCGCCCTCGAGGTGGTTCATGGAGGCGTCAAAACTCACCAGACTTGAGAGATTTCCAAAACCCACCGGGAATTTCCCGGTGAGGGAGTTGTTGTAGAGCTCAAGTTGCCGTAACCTGTTGAGTTTCACGATTCCTGCCGGAATTTCTCCAGACAAATGGTTATCTGAAAGCTCCAGATTTTCAAGCAGAGTGAGGTTCTGAATTCCGTCCGGAATCTGTCCTGTGATGCTGCAGTTTGTGAGATAAAGCCAATACAATTTCTGAAACTTCAGAAGCTCCGTTGGAAACGGACTAGGGTCGAACGGATTGTCACCGAGGCTTAAGAAAGTGAGTCCAGTTAGATTTTCCAGGGATTTCCATGGAAATGCTCCCGAAAATCCACTGGCATTCAAATTCAAGAAATTCAATCCACTCAAAGAAGACAATTCCGGTACTTCTCCGGAAAAATTATTTTCCCCCAGATCAAGATGCTTCAGCCCTTTACAATTTTTCAAATCCCCTGTAACAGTCCCGCTAAGGAAATTCGTTCCAAGATCAATCCTTTCCAATGATTTCAGCGAGCAGATTGAATCAAATGGAAGAACTCCGGCCAAGTGTTGTTGGGGAAGATTAATTTCTGCTACAAAACCGATCGAATTGCACACAATTCCCATGAAGTTGCAAGGTGCATTTTCCTCCGTCCACGAACGAAAAACACCCGAACCTGATTTTCCCACGGCAGACTTGAATTTCAGCAGAACCTCCAACTCATCCCCATTTGCTGGGAAAAATAATGTAAGGAAGAGAAAAAGGAAGAACATTGAAGGCAGCCATTTCCGGTAAGCTTGTCGGAGAAACATCCCGACCAGATAAAGAACAGTGTGGAATGGTCTGTTCTGTTTTGTAGTAGGAATAGTTGTGTGGAAATGTAAGAGAAAAAGAGACCGAGAATCTGAACACGAGGGCGGTTTGGAATTTTGAAAATTTTTAGATTGAAGATCATGTTAGGTATATGTAAAATTTTCAGATTGATTAAGAAAGAAATTGATTAAACTATGATTAGGAGCTTCATCAGGGACAAGAACTCCCATACTTTTTTTATATATGGTCAGTAAATTACGCCTTTGACAGTGGAATGGGGAGAAGAATTCTCTACCGACCTGCATGCAGAATGAATTCCTTTTGTCTCCAGTGGGACATTCGCTATGAGATATTAAGCTAAGTTTGTTGACTTAATTAGACTTAATGTAGTGTTGTTTTCCTTTTTTCCATTTTTTTTTTTTACTAGTGTCTCCAGCTCAGATTTCATGCATTTTGTTATTATTTTTAATTTAGACAATCCCCACATTATCTTGATATATACAAATATATATATATATATAATTTGATTAAATATTAACTTTAAATTTTTAAATTTAAATTTAATTTATAAAAAATATTTATTTACCAATAAATATAATCTTTTGCTCTAATGTAGGGTGCTTTTGGTTTTTGTTGTAACATTATTAGTGAATTATCAAGTAATGGGAATTTAAATGTGTTATGTTAGAATTGCCTTTTAAATTTAATGATTTATTTTTAAATTTTAATTTTTTTTTTTAACTTTTTGTCCTGAGTGGGTTTAAAACCCATCTAAAGAAGGGGATATGCACTTTTTCAATGACATTAATCATTGACCACAATGGTCAAGTACCTTAAATTTTAATATTTAAGATAAAATTAATCAAAAATTTAAATATTATTAACTATTTAAATATTTATACTTATTTATAAATTATAGTGCTTGGGCAATTCCTTCCACTTCCACCTTTCCCCTATAAGTGTCCTGTCTGTGAAAAATAAAATAAAATAAGGAAAAGAAAGAATCTAAAGGACGAGTGGTTATGGCCGCCGGGATTGACTAAGCTATTCATGGTTGACAAGTGGAAAAACGTTGGCAGTGGGCGAAAACAAAACAGCTTCAACGTGGAAGACCAACCATTTCTATGACTTTTTTTCACATGGTGTCCAAGGCAAAATGGCAAATCAACTCTACATTGATCCAGACACCGACGTGATGTATAATATTTTTTTTTATATAACGAACAATTATTAGAGATTAATAAGATTAAAATTATTAATGAGAGATATTAAATTTGGACAAATATACAATTCATCAACTGTCATTTTAGGTTGCAGTGACTACAACCATAATGAGAAAATGTGGAAAATGATGGAAATTGAATCTCATACTCAAGATAAGATATTTTTTTTTATATAAAAGTAATGATTAATAAATTAATTTTTATTAATTGTTAATAAATTAAAGATTCGATCCCAGACAAGATACAACTATAACGGGAGAATGTGAAAAAGGATAGAAATTAAACCTCACACCCAGAATAAGATATTTTTTTATATATAAAAATAATGATTAATAAATTAATTTTTATTAATTGTTAATAAATTAAAGATTTGATTCCAGACAAGATACAACCATAACGGGAAAATGTGAAAATGGATGGAAATTAAACCTCACACTCAAGATAAAATATTTTTTTTTTATATAAGAGTAATGATTAATAAATTAATTTTTATTAATTGTTATTAAATTAAAGATTCAATCCCAAACAAGATAAAATACCCTTTAATCAATTATTAAGTGAGCCTCGCCACGCGGAGCTTCTTGTGATGTATAATACTTTAGTGTGAAATCAAGCCAAGAAGTTCTTTTTGGGCGAGGAAAATGGCCCCATTTATATGACCTCTTTTTGACTTTTTATTCTTAGAATACTCAATTAAAATGAAAGATATTTTTATAATATTATTTGATATGATAAATTTATAATTTAATTTTTTATTTTAATTTATTTATATTATTATATTTATTTTATTTATTTAATAACATATCATAATTATTTATACAAATTAAAACTTACTTACTTAGCAGACTTGATTTGTTATTCTTAATGCTAAAGAAATTAGTAAATATTAATCTGACCGAAGTTGATTGAAGGCTTTGAATTTTAAAATGGATTGTTTGGTTCACTCGTACATCAAATTGATGAAGTAATGTTTTCTTTTCTTTTTTCGTTTCCCTCAAGGTCTGGGTTTAGTGTGTGTTCTTAATGCATTATGGATGATTTGTTCTTCCACAAAGATAGAAATCATTTGACAATGATTCTTGTTGCCTTGATTAATATCCAACTTTACCCAACGATTGTAGAACTGTAGAAAATGTGTTATAAATGGTGGGCACGGATTATAGACTGGGAAATGATATAAGCAGTAAATTAAAGACTTGTTTAGCATAGCCATAAGAATTCAAAAAATAAACGTGTAGCAAGTGGTAAATAGTAGATGATAATTAATGAATAGCAAGTGATAAATAGTAAAAAGTTAGTAACAGATAATAAATAGTATATTTAATTAATATAATTATTTAATTATATAATAATTAAGAGTTATTATTTAAAATTAAATAATTAATAAAGACATATTTAAAATAATTAAGTATATTTTTTATATTTTTATTATTAAAATTATTAATTTTATAAAAATAATAATTATAAATTAATAAATAATAGTATAATCATGCATTAATTTTTATTTTTAATTAAGAAAAAATTATTTTAATTTTAAATAAAATAAAAAATTTAATATTTTTGTCTAATTAATAAATTTTGTTCATTAAACTAATATTTTTTATGATAAATTAATATAAAAATATAAGTATAATAATTATTTAATATTATTAAAGACAAAAAATAAAGTTGAAATTAATTAAATAAGTGCTAATTAAAAACCATAGTAAAAAATTAAAAATGACAAATTTTTCAATAAAATTAAAAACTTTCAATCGATTAATGGTTTGGTACAAAAAATCTATTTTAGATAATTTTTTCAATCTACTAATGATTTGAATTCTAATCATAATCTGTTAGATCTAAATCGTTAAATAAAAATTTTTATTAAATACCTAATTTATTGCGATTTTGAAACAAATAAGTTTCTCAAATATTTATTTTAACAATTTAAACAAAATCATTAATCATTAATTTTAAATTGTTATACTAACTAAACCCTAAATAAAAGCTGAGCAAAAGAATGGAAGAAGAGAGAAAGTTCCATACAGGGCTTTGGCGAAAAAAAAATTTGTTTCGTCATAATTTCAAGGTACTTAATTCTATTACTAACTTAGAGTATTGTTCTTGGGTTCTTAATTTATTGACAACAATTTGATAGCCACAACTATTTAAT